GTGTATAATGAGTGTGTGTGCGTTAACACTCAGAGAGTTCAAAGTCCACCAATGAATGTATAGTGAGTGTGTGGTGTTCGTGGGTTCCACATTCAGTACCCTGGTACAGCAACAGACTGGTAGTGAAATTGCTCTACTGGAGTCATCCATGTACTTCTCGCTTGCATGGCTCTATAGGGCGCTGGTGTGTACCAGTGCATGGCATTACTTGTGAGTTCGGTGCCGTAACAACCAGGATTGCCCAACTGGTCATACGTGAAGACTCTTGGAGGTCGTCTCTCCCTTATAGGTCGCTGGTATCGCAGGTCATGTCCACAGTGGGTTCCACTCTGTACAGGTGACTGCACTACAGATGTTCTCTCGTCCAGAGCAGTTTCCTCTTGAGCAACAATCTCCTGTTGTCCTGATGTGTCCCTCTCTGTCAGTGTATCTCCACTATCCTGACCCAGCTGGCAAATTTCCTTTTGCTGCGGCTCAGCATCCTGTGAAAGTTGTTCAACTTCGTTGTCAGCCTCCTGTCTGTCTGTGTCTACTTGGGGCTGTATCACAGGGAGAGGCTGATCCCTGGGCGGATAGTATCCATAGTCATCATCATCACTATCCTCAACGTCTGCTTCTTGGTGGTGTTGCTCTCTTCCTTTGCGGGTCCCTGCTGCGATTTGTCCTTTTGCTTTAGCTGGTTTCAATTGTATTTCCAGTGGCAAATGGTCACACGGCAACAGCAGGTTACGATGCAGTATCCTACGCCCTCTCGCTTTGCCTTGTTCTGGTATTACTTCATATATGGGCATGTCTTTTCCCACCTGACGGATAACTTTGTGAATGCAATCTTCCCAGTGGTTTCGGAGCTTCCCTGTTCCGCCCCTGGGTGTCAAATTCCTGACGAGAACCCGGTCACCCTCGTGCAATACAGAACTCCTCACTTTGCTGTCATGGTTTCTCTTACTCTTCTCAGCACATTTTTTTTGTATTGGCCGTTGTGATCTCATACGCCTCTTGCATCTGTTCTTTCCATCTTCTCATATACTCCTGATGATCAGCAGTTCCAGCCTCTGGTGTCAAGCCAAATAATAAATCCACAGGTAATCTCGGTGATCTCCCAAACAGGAGGTAGAAAGGGAGAAAAACCTGTGACTTTGCATCGAGTGCTGTTGTATGCGTAAATAAGCTTGGGCAACGACTCTCTCCAATCTGACTTCTGCCTCTCGGTGAGCGTTCTCAGCATTTGCAGTAGTGTTCTGTTTAAGCGCTCCACCTGCCCATTGCCTTGTGGGTGGTTTGGTGTAGTTCTTGAGCCCATCACGCCACAGTTCTTCTTTAGCTGTGCAAACAACTAGTTTTCGAATTCTCCTCCCTGATCATGATGAATCCTCAGGGGGAACCCAAACTTCAGTGCATAATCATTAAATATCTTATCAGCTACAGTCTTGGCAGATTTCGATGTGGTGGGGTAGGCTTGTGCAAAGCGTGTGTAATGATCTACGATTACCAATATGTATTCGTATCCACCTTTACACTTGTCTAGATGCAGGAAGTCAATGGATACAAGCTCGAATGGCTGAGTAGTGACAATAGGTGTGAGTGGAGTTTTTGTTTCTCGACAGGGTTTTTTCTGTTTGAGGCAGGTACAGCTTTGAGTGACATAGTGTTCAATCTCTCTCTGCATGTGTGGCCAGAAGAAACAATCCCGTACAAGTGATCTTGTGCGTTCCACACCTTGGTGTCCCATGTCATTGTGGAGCTGTCTCATAACTGTTGACTTGTATATTTCAGGGAGAACAAGTTGTGTCCTGGTTGCAGTCTTTCTGTGAAGTATCCCATCTCCATCAAAGCGGAGTTTCTCCCAGTCACGGAGGAGACACTTGCTCCGTGCACTGAATGATTTTAACTGCTGTCCTACAGGTCTCTCATTTGACTGTTTACAGGCGGCGACGGGGCCAATATCTTGATCGTCTTTTTGAGCTCGACAGAGAGCTGCTCTTGAAAGGGGCATGTCCTCATCAGTTTCCGCACACCCAGTAGCCATAATGGACCACACAGTGTGTGAGACACTCATTTCTACAGCTTGTACCATAGTTTGCACAGACGGAGAGGACATTTCCTCTGAACATTCTTCAATCATTGTCTCTATGTCACAGGGCATTCTTGAAAGGCCATCAGCATCACAGTTCTCTCTGCCTGGGCGATATTTGATTGTTAGGTCAAAATCCACTAATTCAGCAACCCACCTATGTCCTGTTGCGTTTAGCTTGGCCGTCGATAACACGTAAGTTAGTGGATTGTTGTCCGTATATACAGTGCAAGATAAGCTGATTAGATAGTCTCGAAAGCGCTCTGTAACAGCCCACTTCAAAGCCAGAAATTCAAGTTTCCCTGAATGCAGATGGTAGTTTCTGCTTTGGTTAGTGTGCGAGATGCATAGGCTATCACACGAAGCTTCCCCTCCTGCTCTTGATATAGCACTGCACCTAGGCCTTGCTGTGAAGCGTCTGTGTGTAGGATGAACGATTTGTTGAAGTCAGGGAATCCAAGTATTGGTGGCTCAACCAGACAATCAATCAATCTCTCCAATGTGTGTTGATGTTTGTCGGTCCATATGATTGGTTTGTGCGACGGTGTCCCTTTATGCTTCCCTTTCACTCTCTTTGTCCTTATATTCCGGTCCTTCTGCTTATCTGGGCCAGGGTCTAATTCCATTAGGGCATAAAGAGGGTTGGCAATGCGGGAGAAGTCCCTGATATACTGTCGCTCAGTAGCCCCATGACTGCTCTCAATTCTCCCACAGTCTGTGGCCTCTTCTCCTTTAAGGCCCTAACAGCCACAGTATCAGCTGGATCCATCTTACTGCCCTCAGCAGACACGATGCGCCCCAAGTAACGGACCTCACGCTTGAAGACTTCACACTTACTTGGTTTCAACTTTATCCCGTGCTGCCGTAGCCGCTGTAGTACTGTCCTCACATCCTCAACGTGATCCTCAAAGGTTCTACTGAAGACCAGGGTGTCGTCTAGATATGGGATACAGATCTCATCCCTCAGCCCCTCCAAGCATTCTTCCATACAGCGCTGAAAGGCGGCTGGAGCATTCATCAGGCCGAAGGGGATCCTGATCCACTCATAGAGACCCCATGGTGTGACAAAAGCGGTTATGGGTCTGCTCTCCTTCGCCATAAAGCCCTGATGGTACGCTTTACCTTGGTCCAAAAGAGAGAACCACGAGTTTCCTCCTAGACCATCCATTATCTCTTGCACTCTGGGGATAGGCTGGTGGTCAGGCAGGGTCTTCCTGTTCACTTCACGAAAATCTATACACAGTCGGAGACTCCCATCTTTCTTTCGAACACACACGACTGGTGATGCGTACGGTGAGTTAGATTTCTCCACCCAACCCTGAGCAATGAGGTCATTCAAGTAATCCTTCATTTCCCGGTAAAGTGGCTTAGGCACAGAGAGGTATGCTTTTGCTACAGGCTCAGTGTCTTTCAGGGAGATGCTGAGTTGAAGTTTTTCTATACAGCCGATATCATCCTCTGTCTTTGAAAAGGAGGCACACTCCTCTCGTAACATCTTATGAACCAACGCCCGTTCTGGCTCACTGAGGTGGCCCAGATCCACAGGTGGATCCCAAACTTTGCCTGTAGCCTGATCCTTTTCAGCTTTGATGTGACTTGTTGTAGCTGAAGGTGGAGGGCGGGACCCCTCTAGTATGGAGGCGGGGTAGACTGCTTGGACCGGCTGGACAGTTCCCATTACAGTTTTCCCTGCTAACATGATGTCATGATCTGTAATATTCTGCACGCTTATAGTAATAGAGGGTTTTTTTCTGCCCTTATTTACTTTTACGAGCATGTCACATAGTTCGAGTCCCTCTGTCCAGCGGGGGTTCACATCCGGAAGGCAAATAGCCTTCAAGCTGCAGACCATCCACTTCCGCTAGCCGAGCTAGCTTCAGTTCCTGTGGCATAAAACTGCAATTCATGCACTGATTGTCAGACAGCCCCTCTCTCAAGTGAGTAACACCGAGGCACATGGGGCATTCATCATGGCCATCTGCAGCCAGCAGTGTAGCCATGCAGAAGTGACAAACATGTGTCCCTAATATGGTGGGACCCTGTTTCTTTTCCATATTTTTGCAGCTTTTATATATTTTTTTCACAACAATAACTGTTATCTAGGAGCGAAAACACCCAAAATAACAGATCAAAATGAGCTCCTATGTCCTTGCCTTGTTATTGAAGACAAATGAAAATAACTCCTCCTTTTAACAATAAAAGTAAACTGTACACATAAGAAAAATCACTTAGAGTAACAGATCAGAGAGAGTCTCTCTTTTATTTTAACTCAAATTAAATAACTCTTCTTCACTTACTAACCAAAAAAAAATCACCCATATGTAGCTGTTAAGTCTACCGGGGAGCCAACGCTCTTTACCAAAGGATGAATTAAGGTTTACTTGACATGCTTTAACGAGTGAAAACACTCGGCAGAGAACCTACAATCAACTAAGAATTACCGCTAAGCGTAAAACAATCAGAAACAAAAGAATTAAGGAGGCCGCAGGAAGGAAGAGAGAATACAGGCCCAGGTCCAGTTAAAGGATACAGAGGCTGTAAATGCATTTACCATGCTTTGACTTTTTGTAGAATGGTGCGGAACATGCCTACGAAATTATATTAAGATCATTAATATGTAAATAAGTAAGTCTCACTGGACTTTATGTTCATTTGGTAAAAAAATTTAAATGAAACAGGAAATACATCTTTTTATGATTTTAAGTATATAATGTAATAAGTGAAATATGTTTTTCTCTCTTCAGAGTGGACAATACATATTGTTACTTAAACTAAACTTTTTCTTTAGTCTGGAGTTAGCAAAATAAATCACATTATTTAAAACTGCAGTAGGCAGCACTATTTTGACTGTTGGCTGTCATCAACTGTAATCACAGTGTTAACACAGAAATCCTGATGGTTGATGTCAGTGTCTTAATTAGTGATGTTGGGATGCTGTTTGTATGTGTGTGCACACATAGGCTGGAGCCAACCTGGACATGTTTGATGAGGAGCAGAGAACACCACTGATGGCGGCCTGTGAAAACAACCATTTGGACACAGTGAAGTACCTGCTGAGAGCTGGAGCAGCTGTCAGCCACAAGGTGGGTCAGCCCACGCTCTGCTGGATCATATCAGTCAGTGTCAACTTGTCCTACCAGCCTGATATGTGCTCATGGCATATACTGCTTCTTCATCCATCACTCAGCTCTTTCTCACTCAGTCACCTGCTGCCACTGCTCACTTCTTTTGTACAACTAGTATGAAAATCGCAACATTAATATTATTATTTTTACCTCCTCAAAAAAAACATTTTGTCAGTGTTTGATTGAATATACTCAAAATAACATACACACAAAATAAAAGAACCAAAACAAGTTTACCTTGACAGATTTTTTATCCTTAGGTGCTCAGAGACAAACTTTTATCTAAATGATGAAAACAAATAGTACAGCCAAGTAAACATTTAAAATGCAACACAGTTAAATAAAAACCCCCATATAGTTATCATGAGGAAATTAGCTGTAGAGACCAAACCCATTTTTCTTCCTGTCTGTAAACGTGTTTATTTCTGCTCTTAAGTTGGGCATTTTAAAATGGGTGTTTATGGGGATTGACTTGCTTTTGGAGCCAGGCTCAAGTAGCCATTCAAGGCACTGCAGTATTTCTCAGCCTCAGTGGTTGCTTCTTTGTTTTTGTTCCACTACTTTTCAATTGGTGTGCAAAGTTCTAGGAATTATGGCAGGAGCTGGCACACACGGCCCCAATCTATGTTAGTTGACTTCATCTTATGAAAAATAGAAGCATCACAAGTGCTCACATCAGCTTCTGCCCAGTTTGGTCCCTACAGGCCTGGAATTTCATCATGCAGCAAGGCCACTTGGCCATTGGTCAATTCGTTTCTGAGGGAGCACTGAAGGGAGGGGTGTATTTGTTTGCCAGTTAAGTTCAAATATTAACAATCCTTTTGCAGAATCACTTGCTCTTCCTTTAATGCTTGTCAAACCATTTATCATCTTTTGTGTTGGGTGTGCTGAGAGAGGTCAGTCTGTATAATGTCATAGTAAATAGTGTGCGATATTCATGGTTTTCATATTAATTTCAATGGCTAGGGTAACTTATATCTACTACAATTAAAATGTTTTACACAACAGCAGAAAGCAAACTAGAACAACACCACAGTATGTCAAAGTAGCCACAGCAAAAACAGTCAAGAACAGGAACTAATGCATGACAACTGAAGGAGATGAAGAGGGAGAGACAGCATCTGGACGAGAGAGAGCCACGACCAGTTCATCCTAGTTTCAAATGATGCAGCGTAGGGAGGATCCAGATGTTTAATAGAGGCAACGCTGTCTGACTGTCTGTTAACAGAGACTTTGCAGTGGCGTTCATACACTTCACTGATAAGTGAGTCGCAGAGCAACATTAGGCTTCATGATCAAAGAAAGTTTGTCACATCGACACATTCATGCTCCCTATTGTCTATAACTCTCTCGCTTGACGTTGACAAGCTTTTTCAACGGCCCTGGTTAAATTTACACAGTGCCGTGGGTACGAGTCTGTGTAGCCTGATTGACAGGTTGCCATGGTAATTTGTCAATCGCAAATAATCCCGCCCTGAAGCATACTCGGAATGAAGGTTTATGGCACTTCTGCATTGGATTCACGTCTCAGACTGGAAGCTTCCCGCTTGCTCGTTACACAAACACATTGCACTGCAGTTAAAAGACCTAACCCCGCTGCTCTTATAACTGCACCTGTCACGTAGATGTCCTTAGATGAATGAGCAGAGGAAGCTAGCAAAGCGTGATTTACCGTGCTCACACAATGTGCGGGTGAAAATCATTTGTGCCACTTTGATATCAAATAATTGAGTGAAATTTTAGTAGCAGCGGTCATAATTCAGCAGCGGCGTCTGTAATGTGCATGTCAACCTTACCTTATTAATAAACATTAAGATAATGGATTTGTGAAATCTGTGAATAAATAAACCCAGCTTTAATAGTTTAGCATATTTACAGTACAAAACTTGTCAGTGAAATGTGAGGGGCAAAAAACTAAATAATTGTTCAATAATCGTAATCGAGGTGAAATGTTCAATTAATCGTGATTTTGATTTTAGTTGAAATCGTCTAGCCCTATCTATGAATAGTAGAACATTTTATTAATCTCCCTATTTTTAAGCCTAAACTACGTTCTAGAGTAAGGGTGCTCCGATCGATCGGCCACCGATCGTAATTGGTCTCTAAAAAGGCCGATCAGAAAAGCCGATCAGATGCAATACTCACCAGACAATTTTCAACTGCAGCTAAAATGGTTTCACTACGTGGTCTGAGCGGTTTTCAAAGCTAGCTAGCACCAAAGTCCTTTTCAGACAGGAAGCGATTGATGCGCCTATTTAATCATTTACAAAGAGAGTTGAGCAGCAATCAGATAAGCGGAGCAACAAGCAGGCACGATAATGTGAAACTGTCGCGGTCGTGCTCATCTCACACACAAGCCGCCCGCCAGAGTTTATTTGTCTTGACCCACAGCGCATCAGGCAGAGAGAGGCTGACGCTTCTGTGTGAGGTACCACTCAATCAGATGACTGCTTCTCTCTCTCAATGCGTTTTTGTTTTAAAACGGAGACCTTTTGCTACTTTCTTCCTCCCGTCCAGATTAAAACCGTGAATCTGAAGATATTTGAAAACGCTGCTGACCCCGTGGGCAAAAACGGAGGACTTTATAAAAGGATGACACAGACACTCACATTTTGCTTTCTGATTTGGTCTTGTCAGTCAAAGCAAAAACACGATGCTACTGACAGTTTTAGTTTCAGTATTTTTATTAAAATATTTTTTTAGGCCTACTGTATAAATAACACTTGTACTGTGAATGTCGCCGTTGTTATAAAACTGTTTTAAAAAATGTAGTAGTAGTCAGTAGTAGTAGTGTGGATGTAGCCCAACATAACCCCACTCCTCTCTCTAGTCCTCTCATGTCAACCCTCCCGTTTCGCCCGGGATTCTCCCATATTTTTCTGTTCTCAACCGGTATCCTCCATTTTAAATGTTTCCCCGTAAATCTCCCTTATTTTTAACCTTTAGAAAATCAATCTTGCCCAAGGATTTAATAGATGAAAATACCCCCCTGAAATAATATTAGTCCTAGGCTATACTAGTGGTAAACCATATGAAATTATAATGAATTTAATAAGTAATAATAATAACACTTTTGGTATAGTATAATATGGAATTAACATTGTACTTTTATTTATTAAAATTTCCCTTATTTTCAGTCTCATTGATGACAGTTTTGACTCCTCTGTAGCCCACTCTCCATCTTTCTGCTCCTCTCTCTACCCCCTAAAACCCACAGAACCTGCCGGAGCTTTCCAGAGCAAAAAGCGGCTACTTTTGTTGCATTGTTTTTAGTTGAAGATTTATAAAGATGCTGTTTGTTCTGTTTTTGTAGTTTACTCCACTGGAAAGCTATATTTGTTATAATATAAGATGTTCGCAGTAACCAGGCACAGGCTTCTATGGTTTAAGTCTGTAAGTCAGAGGGAGTGGAATTTGTTGCCCATGTTTCCTAAAATGAACAGTTGTCATTTCATGATACTTTATCATCTGTTAATTTTAATACTTAATAGTTTGTTTTTAGGACTAATTAAAAAAATATACTGTATAATGCTACATGATAAATAAAAGACTTCAAATAGACCCAGTGATTGGTGACCGGTACCAGCCAATACTGCTTTCGGTGATCAGCCCAAAAAATCCTGATAGGAGCACCTCTACTCTAGACTGTGGGGAAACGTTTAGGTACCTTTCTGAACTGGTTCTGTTCACTGGTGTCCATTCCAATTTCCTGTTTCACCCACAACTCTCATGGAGTCCAGAAGCCAATGAAATGTCCTTTCTCTTGGACTCATGTCATCCTGTGTTGTCATCCCAGGATGTCATGGGATTCACCTGTCTGCATTTGGCAGCTAAATTGGGACATTATGATATAGTCCATCATCTGCTCTCCAAGGCTTCCAAATTCATCAACTGTCAGGTAAAAACACACACTGCCTCATTTACTAACTGCTGCTAACAGTTATTTTCGTGTAAATAACAAGTCAGGTGTTAGTGTCAATCTTTGCACGAGTTTTATAACTTCTGTCTGTGCAGGATGCTGGTGGATGGACCGCCATCACCTGGGCCATCGAGTACAAGCACAAGGAGCTGGTCCACCTGCTGCTGGCCAGAGGGGCCGATGTAAACATCAGGGACAAGGTCAGTGCAAACGACACGCTGACACCACAATCTGTTTTCTTCTTTTTAAAATAACATGTTTTTAAAAGGCAAATATTTAGTAATGAAAAACCAATAAGAGTATAGATAAAGAACAGAACAAATAAATAGTATCAATAAATGTATCAATAAAATCCTAACAACAATATAAAATAAATACAGTATAAATGGCAGCTGGTAAAGACAAAGTTTATGATAATTTATCAATCATAGTTAACAAGTCGATCTCTGGGAAGGATCTCTAATTCATTTAATTTACTATTTATAAAGATTAAACATGACAATTAACTTTAATCTTGTTATTTTCAACAATGTTTGTGTTATTCTAAATTTTGACACCAAGATTTAAAAATTTTTACAGCAAAGGTATATCTGTTCCATATATCAGTCGGTCATCAGTCTAATTGGTTACTAATAATCTGTATCGGAGTCGGCCTGGAAAAAAACATATCGATTGATCCCTAATCTCGATTACAAGATCATTTGATTTTTTTTATGTTCTCAAAGTCACAAGACTTTGAGACATAAATGCTAGAAATCATCTCTTCTTGGTCAATACTAACATTATCGATTTAACTAGACATAAGTAACATGCCTCACTGGCTCTACCTACTGGTTCATTTCAATTTATTTTATTTTCAAGTGATAGACATAACATCATGGATATCACACTGATGCTTTACTTTTTGTAGGAACCTGGGGTCTCATTTATTAAAAGTGTGTTGTATCCATACTAAAGTATAGGGTTGCACAGCTGAAAATGGCATGTGGCAAAAAAATTAATCTGTGTCAGTGCATCTGACAGCCATGTCAGAGGCGGCTGTGGTTCAGGAGGTAGAGCGGGTTGGCCGTTAATCGGAAGGTTGGCGGTTCAATCCTTGGCTCTCCCTGGTTGTGTGTCGAAGTGTCCTTGGGCAAGATACTGAACCCCGATTTGCCCCTGGCGAAATCCGCCATATGAATGAGTGTGAATGTTAGTTTCCGTTTGAGCACTTAGGCTCAGTGTATGAATGTGTATGAATGTGTATGACTGGTGAATGCAGATGTAGTGTAAAAGCACTTTGAGTGGTTGAAAAGACTAGAAAGGCGCTATACAATTTTTCAATGTGAATATCCTTTTTGCCTGAAGAGTTTGTGTACTACCAGTGTGAGTGAATGTATTTATTTAAATTGCATAGTGGGCAGAGCAAAGTGACTGTGGGATTCTTCTGTGTAGGCTCAGGGCTATAAAGTGCCACTATTTCACTCGCATACGCAAGTCTCACATTCCACAAGCTGCAATGTGCCCACGCTAGAGTTGTCTGTATTGAGTATTTTCAGTCATCACTGTGATGGGTGAAAAAGCTTTGTCCATATTTTAGGTTTTGTGTGTTAAATGTCAGACCAGAACATTACTTTTGCTTGTTAGATAGTGTGCGTAAGTTTCTTTGCAAATGTTTAAATGTAAAAAAGAATAAAGCGGTTTCAATGTTAATAAAGGCTTTGACAGTAGCCTAAAAGAATAAAGTTTTTGGTTGGATGGCACAGACTTTAAACCATGGCTGATGCCTGTCACTGGGAATAACCGGCAGGCGTATTGTTGGGTCTGTAAGAAAGCAGTAAGTGTAACCTTTAGGTGTAATGGGGGCATCAACGATATCTGGTCCCATATACACAGTGCTTTTCAATTCAATTCAATTTTATTTATATAGCGCCAAATCACAACAACAGTTATCTCACAGAAGAGCAGGTGCAGTACTAGTCACAAATAAGTTTTAGGATGCTGACAAAGTTGTCTATTGCAAATTTGTGTGCTACACCGCCTACACCACTCCATCACTCATTTTATTCTCTTGAGCTTTGTTCCCTCCAAGCCTCTCTGAATTCTGTTGTATCGATTCAGTGGTCCATAGAAGTTATCACAAACTAAGAGTGTTTAGTTTTGTCAGTCTCAAAATCAATAAATAAGTAAGTTAAAGGTGCGTTTGTGTAATTTTTAGTGGCATATAACGGTAAGATTTTAGATTGCAACCAACAGAATACCCATATTTAAGCCTGAAAATAAATTATGTCAGGTATCTTGCAACTGCTTGGCGTTAGCAAGCAACCTACTGTGTTTGACATGATTTCACGTATTGCGCACATAAACGTCATAGCCGACGTAAGCTAATGGATTTTTGCGGGAAATCCGACCAGTGCTTCACATAGAAAACAGTAGGCCTATACAGGCTGTTATAGGCAATTGAGAATGTTGGTGAATGCCTCAATTTTTAAGTGAGGTCACAACCCATTCCCACAGAGGCAATCCAAATGTGATAAATAAAATTAAATTCCCATTTAAACTCCACGATGCACCTTTTAGAGGTTTGTGCTGACCTCTTATCTGCTCCTTGTTCAGGAAGAGAATGTCTGCCTGCACTGGGCGGCTTTGTCGGGCTGTGATGACATCGCTCAAGCTCTGCTGGAGGCTCGATGCGACCTCAGTGCTGTCAACGTTCACGGTGACTCACCGCTTCATGTTGCTGTGAGAGAGAACCACCTGGAGTGTGTGATGTGAGTGTGTAGTCCGGGAACAAAGATCGCTTGGGTTACACAGAGCTTTATTCATTCATTAGTCCATTGTTAATAACATGAATATGATTTAATGGAGGGGAGGTAGGGGTGGATTGGGGTATAAACTCAGAAGGGGGGCACATTTAAAAAAACAAATAAAAAATAAACCAGCAGGATCAAATGCCATTCCTAGAGGTGCTAGGCTAACCCAGCTTGGACCAATTCCAAAATGTCCAAAATATACCCGGTACTGGAATTTAGAGATTGTTGTGCACACAGTACAGTAGGGTTGCCGAAAGATAGAAAATAATAAGGGACGCCTGCCACAGCAGGGGCCACACTGATTGAGGGCCTGGCAACGACAGGCCCGATGGTGTGCCAGTGGTGGTATATCATAACTCAAAATATGTTTTCAGGAACGTATTAAGATTGATACCAATGGACATTATAATAAGCTATCTTCCTTTTATAAATGTCTTTCAAACAGCTACAGTAAAACTATGAACAGAAAAAGCTCACTCCTAATAAGCTCCACACAGCACATTGCTGACCAACTTTGTTTCGTCACTCTGGAAAATATCCTTTCCACATAACCAGTGGCTGCTGCGATGCTTATGATGTGGCTGATGATGGACAGGGTGAGAAATTGCTGTGAACTTGAGTAACTGTAAAGAGTGGTGTGAACACAGATTTGGCTTAAATATTTGTCATTGTAATACCAGCAGTAATACCATTCAAACAATAAAACCTACATAAATAACCTATCTGCAAACATTTCTAAATTTAATTTATCACCATTTTAATGATTGGTCAGTAAATATTTATGTATTTATGTTTTCAGTTTTTATTTAGCCTATTGTCACACGTCTGACTGGCCACCGTGCACCACACAGAATACTGGCCAGCAAATTGTGCAGTTTGGCTTGATACTCGTCAAGTAGGCCAGTGGTTGGCAATTGGCGGCCCGCGGGCTAGATATTATTGCTGGCAGGCCTACTTGATGGGCAGATTGCTTTGATAGTAGAAAAATAAATTACGAGGTATAAACTTTTTGCAACTGTAGCGCCACCTAGTGGAAGAATATCCCAGGGCTGCTCAGTGAAGCTCGGGCCAAGCATTTGAACAGATGCGTCAAGTTTGGTTACAATAGTTTATGCCAATTTGATTTACGGGCCATCCATCCATCGTCAACCGCTTACCCTGCGTACAGGGTCGCTGGGGGGGGCTGGAGCCAATCCCAGCTGACATCGGGCGCAAGGCGGGGTACACCCTGGACAGGTCACCAGTCCATCGCAGGGCCACACATAGACAAAAAACCACTCACGCTCACACCAATCAACCTAGTCCGCATGTCTTTGGATGGTGGGAGGAAGCCGGAGCACCCGGAGAGAACCCACGCAGACACGGGGAGAACATGCAAACTCCACACAGAAAGGCCGGGGCAACCTTCTTGCTGTGAGGCGACAGTGCTAACCACTGCACCGCCGTGCCACCCTGATTTATGTAAAATTGTACGTAAAGACACAAAAAAGTAAAAATTTATGAAAAAAAAGAGATTGATGTATAAAAATTATTTTGATAACTTTTCATTAGTAGCGTCCGTAGATGATCCTGCCATAGTTTCAGGTCGATTGGCGAAACAGTCTGGGACGAGTTCGCAAAAATAGGTTTTAGAGAAAAGAGATAAAAAGTTGTATAATTTAACATTTTTAGAGCAGAAGACCATTGGTGCAAAGATGCAGAGGAATCCAGAGATTAAAATAATGAAAGAAGATTGACTCTAAACGAAGATTTAGATAATTGCAAAAACGCAAAGTTGAAGAAGGACCAGAACCTGAAAAACCAGAACCTGATGAAGAACCAGAACCAAAACCAAAACCAGCAGCTGGTGCTGAAATAGATCTCAGTCATGACAGTTACAGTTACTCACACATTCATTTCCTCGTAAGTGATTGTGCCTCCAAAATAAAAGCACGACAAAACTTTTTGCTGCAATGCTTTATGTCGAGTTTATTAAGAGCTTTTACTTTGAAGAGTTCTGAAGGACACTAGCTTGCGTGACGCTCCTTTTGAAAAAGCCATCATCAAGCATGTGATTGGATTCCTCTGAATTTCCCTTTTTATATACAGTATGGAATTTCCTCAAGGAAATGAAAATAAGTGTCCATAGGTTTATGAATCAACCCCCAGGACGTGCACACACTGCAGCACATGCTTTATTGTGAACATGTGAAAAAGTGTCCTTATAATCAATTTGTTTAAGAAGGGATAAAAAAAATATCTGCAGTTAGTTGGAATTAATTTTACGACGTTGCAAGTGAGTCCTGCACAGTACCGACTGAGCTAAACGTGCACACTAGTATACAAGGATTTGAAATAATTTCACCATGTAACAGCAACAAATCAAACCAGCAATGGCAGGGAGTATTACCCAATCAGGGGTAGAAAAGGACAAGTCTTCACAGAATGATGGAATGATTTGCATGGGATGCTGCATTAAAGACAATTCGGAATTATGGGACAAACCAAGTCCCTTATTGATTCAGAACGGGCCGCGCTATTTAGTTCTCAAATATGGGACAATTCCGTATTTTAAGGGACAGGTGGCAACCCTACTTTACAGAGACCTGGCTGCACCACAGCATCCCAGATCACAGTTGGCCATGTTCTGGAGTGTTTACATCAGTGATGCTTGATGCTCAAATGCAGTCAAAGTTGATGGATGTTCCACAGATGCCAGCCACATTATCTGCCAAGAATTCCATTGGTGTTGTTTTTTTCTTACTAGTATTTACAACCCCCTATGTGCAAACAGACCTCAGAACTAAATTCTATTAGCATGCCCACACTTCCACAAATAAAAAAACAATTTGTTTGCAGAAAAGATGACACCTTTTATGCTCACTTTGCTCTCCTCAAGAAAGTCTCAGCTGTCCACTGCCCCTAGAGGAATGGCCACTGTCAGTATTCACAGCAGATGTGAGAATAACTCAGAGAGTGAATGTGAGTAAAGCTGCTGTGCCTTAAACCTGCATTCTTTCTAATGGCCAGCACTGGACTCAATAGCAAAATGAGCCTACTTCTCACCTGATTTATTACCTCAGTAAATACTTTCCTAATGAGTTTATGGTCTCACTCGCTAGTTTCAAGTCTTCTGTAATACAGTATGGTGTTCACTCATGTTCATTTAGTAAATTATGGTCCTATTAGAGGAAAATGGACCAGAAAGTAGGGAAGGCTTTAGGACGAGGCTACCTTGTGATTGATAAGTTGCTATTGTGAGCTAGTTTTTGAGTGCTGTTTGTGTTTTTTTTCCCAGTTTGATGTGGAACAGTTTGGAACCTAAACTGTGAGCCAGGCCTTATCACCCAACATCAGTGTTGGACCTCATAAATGCTCTTGCAGCTGAATGGGAGTAAATCCCTGTTTATTATTGGAGGCTGTTTATAGCAGCACATTAATGCCAACTGTTTCTAATGACATGTTCAAGAATCGCATATGGGTGTCCACATACTTCTGGCTATAAAGTGGATTAGCTACTGGCATATTTAGTCATAAATGTGATATTGGCTTTTAGCTTCAACGCCACAATCATATTGGTCTATCCCTTGATACAATAGTTTGTTTGTTTTTTAAACATACTGTGTTGTCTAAGTTGTGTTTTGCTACATTTCTAAACTAGTCTGCAGACTTAAACTGAAAACATAAACAAATTCCACCGGCAGGTTGTTTCTGTCTCGTGGAGCTGACGTCAATCAGAGGAACAGGGAGGGAGAGACTGTTTTGGACTGCTGCGTCTACGGCTCCAAGGTGTGGACAGCCCTCAACACCAACAAAAAGCTGACTGATGCCAGGAGAGCCAGGGACTTTCATGGAGAAAGAGTGCTCAGCAGGTAGATGGCAACACTGCTCTGTGTGTGTTGGCCGGGTTATATAATAATATTAATTTTTATTTTCTAAATTGCATGTATAGAACTGTTATTTGTAATACATTGATGTAGGGCTGGGTGATATGGCTTATAAATATATATCTCAATATGTTTAGGCTGTATCGCAATATATATCAATCTAAGTATCAATTTACACATTTTGTTTAAATAACATATCGTACATTCTCAAATAGTGCAAACATGATCTTGTAGAATCTGATGGATTGCTGTAGCTTAAACTACCTAACCTATCTAAGTAGTTAAAATGAGCAAAACCTTAAACATCACAGCAGTAAAATCCAAGACACACTTTAATGCAACATTTATAATAATCAAGAAACATCACATATAATAGTAAAACGCCGACAAGGTCCATTTTACTGCACAATGACTATTGTAAGTACATTCTGCTGTAATACTAGCATAAGCATAAGGTAAAAACCATTGTACGGTTTAGAATCGAAAACTTGAAGTGAACTATTTTCAATGTGAGGTTGGTATTAGTACTTTTGCAATGTAGTAGTTTAGGCTACTGTTTTGTAACTGACCTGAATACTTCTTCCAACTCAGGTTAGCACACCGAAAGCCTAACTGTACCTGTGTGTTACCAGCCGAGCCTTCCCCTTTAAGGAAGGTGGCTTTGTGGGTAACCTGTGTGTGAGTCTAGCGAGTTTGTTGTGAAAACTAGTCTCTCCCAGTGTGTAGGGCGGGAAGTTGCATTACTTTAGTCAGTCATAGAGTGTGTAGATAAACTCAGGTTGCAGTATAATATTGCTGTGTGTGCCACAAACCACTGTGAAAAGCTAGCTATATATCAACTACAATTCAGGTTAAAAGCCAATTAATATAGCCTAAAACCGGAGGTATCCCAAATACATTTTGGAGCTGGGAGCTAGATTAATTACAGTAATCAAATATTGATTGTGTGTTCTCATGGGATCTTTGTCTGCCACAGTGACTCAGCTGCTAACTCACTATATATATATATAGGTCTATGTAACATGTACACCACTGCACCTTTTACCTGAATTCTTGAAGTTAGCATTTTTGACAACAGAGGTGTTTACCATGCATTGTTTTCTTTATCTTCTTTATATTCATTCTGGTATTGGTACTTACATAGATGATGTCTTGTCAGTTTTCTTTACTCTGCTGTGATATTCTCTTCATCCATTTCTATAGCATTTTTTTTGCATATTTGAATCAGATTTTATAACCATAAACTTCCTTCTCTTAGGGACATTTCTCGGGGGTACGAGGCAGTTCCTATCACCTGTGTCAATGGTGTTGACAACGAGCCGTGCCCTGAAAATTTTAAATATGTACCAGACAACTGTGTCACCTCCTCACTGAACATAGACAAGGACATCACTCACTTACAGGTCTCTGTAAATTAAACGTTTATTACAGTGCAGAAGGTGGAATGAACTGATGTTTAATATTCAATATGAATTTGTCGTAGTTTTTTCACCTATTCAAATTCAAAGAGAAACCAAAGGCTTGCAGTACATTAAATAATAAAAACATAAAAGATTGTGTATGTAAAAGCTGCAAAATGTCATATCTGACTTATATTAGCTCACTGATTCTGTCATTCAGCACTGCAGCTGTACAGATGACTGCTCATCCAGTGCCTGCATGTGTGGTCAGCTCAGTCTACGATGTTGGTATGACAGCGTAAGTTGACACACACGTGCAAAATGCAAATATATTCGTCTTTTTTTTACACATCACTTCCACTTGGTCACAGGCATGTTTACTGGTGACTAATATAAAACACTTCTAGTGGATTAACTAACACATTTAAGCAGACTTTTGGGATGTTAACAAATTGTTATTGTCCTTTTTGTTTAATTCTGCCTGCAGTATTTACAGGTTTAGATTTTCCAGGGTTGACCTGCTTAATTTCTATTTTTCGTAAGTCACAAATCAGTTTCTAGCTAGGTATAAAGAATCTAACATCTGGCTCTCTCAGAGCAGCAGACAACTTATCTAAACAGAAAATGTGTATTTTTATCCCTGATAGCCGTTTGTTACATGTCTCTTGGTGCAAACGTAGGAGGGTCAACTACCACTGGACTTCTGTCAGCGGGAGCCCCCAGTGCTGTTTGAGTGTAACCACATCTGCTCTTGCTGGAAAACCTGCAGGAACCGAGTGGTCCAGAATGGACTGAGGTGACATGTTCTATCTTTTGAGGTGTCGCCTGTGAATCTTCATTTAATAGCTCACTGTGGCTGTTTCTTATTTGTACCAAACCTCCTTTGAAAATACTACTGCTTTTCCTGTTGTTTAATATTTGTATATGAAGCAGTATGCAGAAGTATTCAGTTAGCAATTTTATACCACTGAGCAGCTTTCATAGGAATGAACAGGGCCCCACTGCCGACGCTGGATCCAGTTCTCTTTATACATTCATTACACTACATTTATTCATTTAGCTGACGCTTTTGTCCAAAGCGCAGGTTGCACACCTCTGGAGCAACTAGGGGTTAAGGGTCTTGCTCAGGGACACATTGGTGGACGTGTCACAGTGGGGTCTCTCAGACTAAAGGCATACGTTTTATCCACCGTGCCAGCACCACCACATTCCGCATTCATGTAGAGAAGCTGTTCTACAGGCCACTCGCGAGAAGAGGAGAGTCAAGTGGCAGGGCAACAGGATTTCCTTCTTTCAGGGTCTTTCTCAAGAGGTGCTCCCTTTACAAGACTCCCTTGTAAAAGAGACTGTGTCTCAATGGGACCTTTGCTGTTAAAATAAAGGTTAAATAAAAAGGTGCTTCAGCAGTGTAGGAAGTTTGATACAGTGTAGAAACAGTTCCCAGAGCGGGGGATGCCGTACTCCATGCTGTATCCAGCTACTGTAAAAAACAGAATAAATAATTTCACCTCACCAGACGCAGCAGACGTTCTGGCAGGATGTATCCATAGTTACTGAGCTGGATTGATTGTTTGTGTAAACTACTTAATGGCCATACATGTGTGTTCAGGCGTCATGGTACTGGTTGTCCACTGTAATAGCATCAGATAAATTACAATATTTCATTTACATTTTGTTCCATTTTATTCTACTGTCTCTGAGGGGATTGCTTACTTTATTTACTAAATGCGAGCAGATACGTTTGCGTGTGTCTAGGCTACATGCATGGGTGTGTATGTAAATTAGGGCATATTATTATTCTCCACAGACATGTATGTACATATGCATACAGGTATATATATGAGCTTCCACTGGCAAAAGTTGTGGATGGCCCCAATACAATCACTCCATTGCATCCAGTTTTTTTTTTTACATGCACAAAAAAGATATATAACTAAGTACTAAGTATATAACTAATAAGAAAAAGGCAAAAAGCATAATACCACCTTTCTAAACTAAGGCTGAGACCGGCTTTCTTACCTAATCTTAATCTTAAAATTCTGTATTATTTTTATTTTTTAAATGTATTTAAATAATAATAATAATAATTTAATGTATGTGTGGAGTATTTGTTGGGTGTGGTGGAGGTTTTATACCAGGCGAGTGGAAAAAGAACTCAATTCTATCTTCCAGGAAAGGGATTAGTTGTTGAAAGTTGTTTTTCTCTTGTTTTCTTGAATTAAATCAATGTCGTGTTTTGTTTTAATGTTCTTCTAAAGTATGCTGCCGTTCTGTCAGCTTTGGGATCACATAATTACCTTTTTTGTTTCAGAGCCCGGCTGCAGGTCTTCAGGACACAGAAGATGGGCTGGGGAGTGAGGGCCATGCAGGATATCCGTCAAGGAACATTCATTTGCGAGTGAGGACAGGCTCAGATAAGAGAAATTACTCCATTCAGTGTTTTCTAGCATGAAATATTTAACAGATTCAGCGCTCTGAGCCCCCTACCCCTCCCTATGCTTCCACAGGTATGTCGGGGAGATCATCACTGACGCAGAGGCCGACAAAAGGGAGAATGACTCTTTCCTCTTCACCCTTGACAATAAGGTAATTACATTAGTGATCATGAATTTTTAAAACCATTCTGAAAAAAACAAAAACAGTTAGGAAATAGGCTGGATAATTAATTATAATATTAAAACAAATGTTAGGAGAAAGAAGAAGTAAAATATAGCTGTTTGGAGCTATTTGAATAGGTAAAGAATTAGTGAGGTGGAAAGATAAGAATCTTTCTATCTCCAATTTGTTCAACTCAAGCAACACAGTCTCAGGAGGGATTGTAAGGCTGTTAATACGTCTAGAAGGAGACTCCAAGTTATGTGAAATGCTTTAGAGACCTTTTTCACTTTTCTCACCAAGATTTTCTATACCCATCTGTCATGTGTCAGAGAGGAGGCATGTTTCCATTTAAGAAGAATGGATGTTTTAAAATTTTTGACTAGTAAGGACTGATTTCCTACTGTCAGACTTATCAGAATACGGGCAATGGTGAGTCTGTGGCATCACAATAGCCTGTTAATGACAGAAGTAAGATCTTGGCTGTTACTGGCTCAGCGCAGCATTAGTGACAAGCCAAAATGATGTGATGCTTTTACGTTTGTGTTATAGGCCTGTGATGTTGCAAAAAATCCTTATTTTTCTGTCACACAGCTAAAGGTGATTATTTATAGGTGAGTATTTATATTACCTTCAGTGGTAAGAGAAACCAAAAAGAATGCAAGCCAATACATGGTTCTGTATACATATATCAAACCCTTATATCAAATATAAATGTGACAAGTTAAAAATGCAGCCCTCCCATATGTTGATGGGAAGAATTTAACAAAAACTGAATTATGACAAACGTCTTGCATGTAAGCACATACTATGCTTACATTCTACATTCACCTGTTGATTCAGAAACACTAGGATGTTCGGCAGACTTTTCTGGAAAAAGTGATTGAGTGCATTTGCTGTTTGGTCAAGAGATGGCGCTGCAGAGTTGTTCATCTAAACACTGCTTTTTCCTCTTAAGGTTTTACCATAGACTGTATATAAGAAGTGGACATTGTCATTGTGACATCACCCATTGGTTTTGTGGACTGCCGTTTTGAAGCCTCGACTTTGGCCGTTAGGGCGCCTCCATGTTGAGTTTTTGCAACCAGCAGCACCAGACGTGAACATATTTGGACGCAGCGGTGAAATCTAACGGCCGTGTGCCAGCCTACCTAGATTGCTTAGCTAGGTGCGTCTGTAATTCATATTAACTGTCATTTTAACAGGGCTGACAATTTTGTCTAGCGAACAACAGGCTTAAAACTAAATGTACTCACCAGAGAAAGTGAAGAGCCAACTCTTAATAAGCTTTTCCAACAGCGCTGGTTAAATTTACACAGTGCCGTGGGTATGAGTCACTCTAGCCTGATTGACAGGTCGCCATGGTAACGACTTGTAAATCACAGATAATCCCGCTCTGAAGCATACTCTGCTTTATGGTCTATGTTCCTCTAAATGGGAGCATAATTTACTAAATGAACATCACGTTGTATTGGAGAAGATATGAAACTTGCAATTGAGACCATAAACTCATTATGAAAGTGTTTACTGAGGTAATAAATCAGGTGAGAAGTACGGTCATTTTACCATCATTTCTAATTGAGCCGGACTTCTTTTTGCAACCAGAAGAGTCGCCATCTTGCTGGCTGTTCGATAGAATGCAGGTTTAAGGGACCTCATTGGCTTTGCGTCTCAGACCGGAACCCGCTTGGGTTTTATAGGCTAGTTGATCTTGTGATGACAGCTTGTTGATGGTAACAGGCTGGACTAGTCGCTGAAGGAATGATTCTGAAATCACATCTCAGGTTTGAGTACTCAAAGCCCAGCCTTTTTATTTATTCATTTTGCCTCCTTATTCCTATTCAGGGAGGGGTGAGACTACATTTAAATGGCTGTGGTACCTAATCTCATGCCCCCCTTGGGAAGCTGGAATTTTTTATCAAACAGAAACAATACTGAGGACACCTGTAAAAGAACCCAGTTGGACAAAATTGAAATAACATAATCACTTTGCATCTTTTCTTCTGTATGCACCCCATCAGGGTAGGCTGCACACAACCACAGAACCACTGCAGTAGGTACAAATAAACAATATAATCAGGGCAGGGCATCCATCATGCAACAAAGAAGGATAGATGATGAGTGTAAATGACAGTGAATGGTAAAATTATGACCCAAACTGTCTGTTGTAAACATCCATCACAGTTTACAGACCCACTTCCTGCTTCAACTTTGAACTACTGTTCTTTCTGTTGTTGTTGTGATGGGTTATTATTCATTTCAGGTGCACTCACTTTCAGTTTATCCTCCAAATAAAGTGGTTTTGGTAATCTAAATGAACTTTTGGCTTCAAGGGCGTAGAATGTAACCTGTCAGTAGCTAGTCAATTTAAGTTAACATTTTAAAAAGCTCCCCACCCTCATATGCTTCTTATTGGTTTGGTCATCTTTTTTACTGCCAAAATATGAATTATGAGTTCATACAAACACTGAATCTTTTGTGGCAAATGTAGCCATACTCTCACATAAACACAACGTGGGCACCACACACACACACACACACACACACACACACACACACACACACACACACACACACACACACACACACACACACACACACACACACACACCTCATATATTTCAATGTCTGATTGTCTACCAGCATGTTAAACAGTATCAGCATCAGCTTTATTGCCAGGTATGTGTACACATACGAGGAATTTGACTCAGGATTGTACGTTGCTCACAATATGCTTACTCATACAAACATACAAAATCACAATAATAAAAAGAAATTAAAATCAGACATTGACTTCAGTGTAGACAATACAAATATACGCACTATGAACAAAAACAATATAGACATATTGACAAATAGTGCAGTGAGCAGAGTGCAAAGGATGCAGGAGTATGTACATGTCGGAGGTGGATGTGATGTACAGGTACATATACATGCATACGTGTACACATGTAAAAATGTACACAGTGCAATGAAGCATAGTGCAAAGGACGCTGGAATAAATAAGTATTTTGTGCAGGAGTTATGACTTGAGGTAGATGGATTTAGTATATAGTATCTACAATATGACAATATAACAGTATGAACAGCACTGAAATAGAGAATGATGAATAAATAAATAATAAGTGGAAACCAGTAAACAGGTGCTGATTAGAGAGTTACTGGGTTATTGCACAGGAAT